TAGGAGAAAACTATTAATAATATATATAGCTATTAGATATTAGGACACTAAGGAAAATAGAAAACCCTTAACTAGATATAATAGATATTTAACTATCTAAGAATTAAGAAGGATATAGAAAGTATTATTAAGAATTACGAAATATATATATAAAGTAAGTTAGTACGATATAAATTATATAGAGAACTAAGACTATTACCTATACCGCTATAGCTATAGGAATTAATCGCATTCGATTACATTACGAAGCTACTAGCTTTAAAGGAACTAATGATAAATATAGTATATAATAGTATTTTCGTTATTACTAATAGACTTATAAAATATAGGTACTTTATACTATATAAGGAAGTATTAGATATAGAAGAACTAGTATATACCTTCCTTAAAATCATTATTAGTAACTATAGATTGCCTAAAGAAATTATATCTAATAGAGGAATAATATTTACCTTAAAGTTTTAATAAGCCCTTATAATATAACTTAGACTAAAGTATAAACTTAGTATAGTATATTACCCTTAAACCGATAGTTAGATAGAACGACTTAACTAAACTCTAGAACAATACCTATAATACTATATTAACTACGAATAAAACGACTAGGTATTAAAACTACCTACTATATAACTCGTATATAATAGCTCGATTATAGAATTAACCTAGGTTACGCTAATGTACGCTAACTATAGATTTAACCTAAAAGTATACCGAGTAACACTACTAGGACTACTTATAGAAAAGGTAATGCTTAACGCTAATTAATTACGATTACTACACTCTTAAATATAGAAAGAACTTTCCTTTATTCGCTAAAGAATAGTAAGATACTATAACTAGAAAAGATTAAAGGGACTAATCTTTAAAAGAGGGGATATAGTCTACCTACTCTAACGAAATTTTTAGATAACTCGACTAAGTATAAAACTCGATTTTAAGAAAATTAGACTATTTAAGATTAAAGAAACACTTTTAGATACTAACTATAAACCATTACTACTATCTATAATAAAGATATACCCTATTTTTTATATTTTATTATTAGAACCTATATTATAAAACGCAAAATAATAACTATATATCGAAATATATAAAGAAGAATACGAACCCGAACGAATTATTAATAAACGAGAACTATAAGGAGAAATACAATATTTAGTTAAATAGAAAGGATATAACGATACTAAAAATATATAGGAACCCGCGAAATACCTTAAGAACTGCCCTCGCCTCTTGCGGCAGTACTACTAATAGAACCTTAAGCAACTTCCCCGAAAATCTCGTTTAAGGAAGGATCGTTAAAACCGGACTAATTAATAACCTTAAAGGAACACATTTACTACGCCTAGGTAAAGGCCTCGGCCTCTTGCTATTAAACACGTTATAACTCCTCCCGAGTTTTCTACTCCAATTCCTTCCGCTCCTCCTCCTCTAACTCCTCTATAGAATTTAGATTCCGCTTCGCTAGCTCGACGCCCTTATCACGAAGTAGTTTCCGCATTTTACGAAGACGGGACAAACGAGCTAGGGCTTCGTTTATTTCCCGTTGCCGCTATAGTAATAACTCCTTAGCGTTCTCTTCGGCACGTTCTAATCTAGAGAGTTTATCGTTGATCCGCTAGACTAGGAGAGGGGTTAGTATTAAAGAAGTGGTGAATAAACGTAAGAAGGCTAACGCTTACTCGACGATATCGGGATATGGGAACTATTATAAGAACGACCTATAGAAAAGTAACTAAAATAATAGTGAATGTTAGGAACGATATAACATTTAACGCCACGATTAAAGTAGCGACTATAAGGTGATACTAGGAAACCTTAGTCCTAGATAAAAGTAGTAGTAGCGATTCGATAGTCCTTAGCGTTACGAGCCTTCGAAGATTTAACGATATAGTTAGACATAATAGACGAACCTAACGATAGAAGAGGAACTTACAAACTAGAGAGCCCTAGGGGCACTATAGGTTATAACGAATCTTAGGATAAGATCCTTAGAAGAGGGGCATCGTGTTACGACCCGTTATGCGGCCTTTACGTGCACCCTACTTTTTTCTTATATGACTATACTATTTTCCCCAACTAAGATAGGTATCACGACTAGGTTCACTCTACGAGCAGTGAACCACTAGTGAACTAGGCTCTAGGTTAATAAAGGTTCACTTACGATAATGTGAACCACTATAGTATATAAGCTAACCTCATTTCTATAGCCTAGTCACTCTTTACCTAGCTATCAATATAATAGTCAACGCTTCTTTTAGAACCCTAGTTCCTTCTACAATTAGCACCTACGACTGTGACTGCCTTATTGCTTAGTTAGACGCCCTGACGGCCTCGCCAACATAAAACCGACACTTCTCTGACTACCCTGTAGCATAGAGTCGTACCAACCGTCACAATCTCTTATTGTTCCTAGCTTTAGAACTTGGTTGTAGGACGTGTATCTAGTAAGGAACGCACCGTTAGTAACTGCTCTTGCTATAAGGAGTGTTGCAAGGCATAGGGATTTTAGTGGAACCACGGTTATGGGCAGTCGTATCCTATTGCATTCGTTGTTAGCCGTGACTATATTGGAGGTGGAAGGCGTTCACTAACTTGGACCGCTGATCTCTTTGTATTCGGTGCTCGCCTTGCTTAACGTGATGAATGGTAATAAAGACCACTAGCTGAGTCGCTTGTCCGGGTCTTGGGATCTCGGACCTAGGCGAACTCCACGTCTTTGTATTTGATCCTGCCCTTTGCCTTTGCTCTAACCAGGCTCGTAGGTCTCTACCTACTAATGCTGGCTAGTAAAATGGCAGTGTGGACCGCAAGCCTCGTGGACGGAAGACATAGTATATGTTCTGCTTCTGTCTGTAGCGTGTCTAGCATATGAATGACGTCTACCGATGTTATGGCCGTCTTTTCGAAGCTCTACGTCTTAATGAGGTTAAGTTTATCGGCCAATTGTGGTATCTACTGATATGAATCAGCCAACAAGTAAGAGCATTTAGTAATGGGGACTCCATACCTTAGCAATCTTATAGGCTGGCTTAGTCCCGTGCTTATTAGACGCGTACTTAATAGACTAAAATGATGCCTTATCTAGGTCACGATTTCTCTTAGAAGCTAGAACTCTCCTATCGCCTTCGTTCACTAACATATACTAGACGTCTTTAACCGTTGTGGCACTCTAAATAGTGCGTATATTGGAATACTCCTCTAGGCCGAGACACGGTCTTAAGGCAGTCGAAGCGGTGACATAGTGGTGAAGAAACGCTCGAAAGCACGTCTGCGCTTCTGGCCGGCCTGCGTAGAGTTCTACCCACTTTTCCTCGTGATTGATATGGAGACTCTTGGCAAATCTGCGATAAGGCCGATGAGCATATATCCATTGAACTTCTTAGAGGAACTTGCTCTAGCCAGTTGATCCACACGGTGTCTCGTCGGCTTTTAGTCTCTGGTTGTAGATACGCCGTATCGTCGAGTGGGCTTTGAGAATATTGGTTGAGTATAGCCTGGGCGTCTTGTTGATAGAACTTTCGTATATGCGGTTTCCGTAAGGACTTGCTCTTGTCTGGATGTACTATGGCGCGTCTAGGCTGCTTGAGAATAGAATGAGGGTATATGGGGTGAGAAAGACAGTCGTAGTCGAAGGGGGCGGCTGGGGATTACATGGGAAATCAACTCTAACTTAGCCTACCGGGTGACAGCCAACGCTTAGAGGAAAATAAGAGTAAGGGGGGTCGGCGGGGAATCCCCCCCCCCCCCCCCCCCCCCCCCTAGGGAGTGTTCACTAAAGGTAACGAGGGGGGGGAGCTTGTAGCCGGGTTTGGAATAAGGATAGAGATTAAGGTACGACGCCAGATGGCCGAAACGGAGCGACAAGATCAACGGAGCGTTAGCCGGCCGTTTCTGTCTGCCCGCTGAATCCCGGGTAAAGGTCGGGTTGGTTCATTGTCTAGAATAGAGTCCCCGTCCGCTCCCCTAGAGTCAAGCCGCTAAGCGGTGGATTAGTAGTTAGGTCGGTGACGACTAGCGAATACCCGCTGTTGTATGTTTTTTTTTCTACAATTTTTTATTTTATTTTTTCCTATTTTCGTATAGTATGCAATATAAACTGAATCTTCACCATTCACCGTCACATACGACCATAGCCAGTGGAAAATACGGGGTCCCGTCCGCTCCCCCAGAGTCAAGCCGCTGAGCGGTGGATTAGTAGTTGGGTCGGTGACGACCAGCGAATACCCGCTGTTGTATGTTTTTTTTCTTTCTGTCTTTTTTTCTCTAATTTTTATTTTTTATTTTTATTTTTATTTTTATTTTTATTTTTCAATTTTAATCTCGATCCTTTTTTATCTCTTCATTCTGGTCTAACCGTCTGTATACGCAAAGTCTAGACGGCGATGCAACAGCCCATCGAAAAAGGAAAACCACATCATTTTTCCATTGGCCGGAAAGGCGAGCCGACGAAACCTCAGTCACACTATACATCGGTTGTCTGTACACCGTCTGGCACCGGGTACAGCAAGCATCGTCAGCTTCTAAAGAGGCCGAATGTCTTCCTTTACTATGCTCGATGGTATATGTACTCTAGCCCGTCAATCTTGACCCTCAGAGTCTTGACCGGCGCAGTGTCGACCCAGATGATTCGAACGGTGTCGACTTTATAGACGAATAGTCAAGGCTTAGAGTGATGTGAGATAGTATCAAGAGATAGCCGGGGTATGATGAGAGGAACGGAAATAGGAGAGAGGAAAAACAAGTATTTCAAGCTGAGTTTTTTTTTAGTTATATATATATATATATATTTGAAAGAAAAAACATGGGATGCAATCGACTATCAATCAATATGCCTGACGGAATCCACAGATCGCTTGCTTTTGTTCAATTCATTATATGAAACCTCCTAGCTCAGGGCAGAGGGTGAAAGAACACTGAAGAAGAAGGGGGTGAGATGATGGTCTAGATGATGATGATGGAGAGACAGGTGGAAAAAGAGAACTGAACCGGCTTATATACTATGTGCTGGCATCAATGTCGACGAGAATCTTGACATGCGAGTCCTTGTCATTGATGAGAGTGTGGAAGCCTTCGGAGACGATATCATTCATCGTGATGGTCTTTGTGATCATGCCGGTAGGGTCCATACGACCCGAAGCGATGGCCTCGATGACCTCTTCGAAGTCTCCCAAGCTGAAGGTAGCACTGTATGATTGTCAGTACGAGATTCTGTAAGGGAGAAGGAAGAGGGAAGAAGGAAGAAGAGGAAGAAGGATGAAGGAAAAAAGGGGAAGAAGCAGAGAAAGCTGGCAGGCCGATGGAGGTGGGTACGATGGCAGAGTACAGCAGGAGGAGCGGGGAGGAATAAGACTTACACTCCGAGGTAGGACTTTTCACGAAAGACAATCTCGTTCATGTCGATGGCCGCCCTCTTCCCCCAGACGGCAATGTTGACGAGGGTCCCCCTGGCCTTGAGGGCCTCGAAGGCGGTATCGATGGCGTGCTGGGAGCCGGCAGCGTCGAAGCCGACGTCGGCGCCGGCGCCGCCGGTCAGCCTCCTGACCTCGGCGACGACGTCCTGCGAGGCCGGGTCGAGGACGTGGTGGGCGCCGAACTGGCTGGCGAACTCGCGACGCTTGGCGCTCATCTCGCTGACGATGATGTTGGGGCACCCGCGGCCGACGAGGGTCTGGACGACGGCGAGGCCGATGGGGCCGCCGCCGACGACGAGGGCCGAGGCCGAGCCGCCCTCCCGGTAGGGGGACGTCTTGACGGCGTGCCAGGCGACCGAGAGGGGCTCGACGAGGGCGCCGACCCGGAGCGGCACGCCGTCGGGCAGGACCTTGACGCACGACTCGGGCACGACCGTGGACTGGCACAGCCCGCCACCCCAGCCGCTCAGGCCGATGAAGCCGTTGCGGTCGCAGCAGTTGACCAGGCCGCGCTTACACGACCGGCAGTCGCCGTCGTAGATGATGGGCTGCACGCAGACCTTGTCCCCCACCCTGATGCCGGCCACGCCCTCGCCCACCTCCTCGACGAAGCCGGAGAACTCGTGGCCGAGGGTCAGGGGATGCGTCTCGCCCGTGATGGGGTGGGGGCTGCCCGGCTCAGGTATCAGGTTGTTGCCGTCCGTGAACTCGTGCACGTCGGTGCCGCAGATGCCGCAGAACTTGGGGGCGATGCGCACCTGGCCCGGCTTGATGGTCGCCCTGGCGATGTCCTCGATACGGACGTCCTCTTTGCCGTGATAGCGCACGGCCTTGATTGTTTGAGATTGGGCATTCATCGTGTGTGTGTCTGTGCTGTGTGTCTGTGTATATATGTGGTAGAGGGAAAGGGGTAAGACGAGAGAGAAGAAGTCAAGATATTGTACAGAGACAAGACATATATATATATATCACAAGCTTGAGACTCTCGGACGGTCTATAACAAGGGTGAGAAGATTTGGATTAGAGGGACTAGAGAAGAAGTGAGCTAGAACCTTGGGGGTCACTTATATATACGTGAAAGGGGGGGGGAAGGGTCACGATAGTCAAATTACTCGTAATGTGTGAAAGAAGAGTTGTGAGAGACCCTTTCTTCCCTCCCACCTCTGCCACCTCCTCCCCCGAGTTATGATCTGCTTGCTTGCCGTCGCCTTTCTGACAGGCCGTCTAGGTATCTGGAAGCGGAGGGGAGAGGAGGTTGCGAGGTGTCGAGGAGGGGTCCCCGAGACAGGCGATCAGGACGGGTTTCCCTGTGTGGACTAGTGTATCGTGAGTTTTTTTTTTCCTCCTCTCTTTCTTTTTCTCCTTTCTTTTCTTTCCACCCTTTGGAGGGTGGGATACCTCAATCGGACTTCTCTTCTTCCTAGATATGTGGAAATGGTCCAAGGTTCTGACTGGGAATAATGGAGTAGAGGGACCCAGGACAAGGTATTACGGAGTGAGGTTCAACTGGTACACAACCCATGAAGAGTCAGGGGACAGAGTAGAAACTATCATTCGGACGAGTTAGATGCGGGGAGGCCTCTCCGGGAAGGGAGGAGGGGGGGGGGGGGGGGGGGGGGGGGGGGGGGGGGGGGGGTATCGTTAGATTCTTGGATTCTGTTGTTATGGAGTACGAGGCCGTATAATCATCAGGTAGTACTGCGAGTACGGGAGAGAGTTGATGATGGCCAGGTTGGATGCTTACCAGCTACTACAGGTATTATCATCGTCAGTTGCCAGTTGCCAGGAAGACTCTTTCTTCTTCCGGGATCTATGAAGAGTCGCTCCTGGTTGACACATATCGAAGTATTCAATCTACATGCCATGTTCGGAGGAAGTAGATCTTGACTGGTTCGAGGCTGGATAGCACTCGGTTCTATCGTCTACTCAAGAGTAGTATATCATCGTTTGTAAGGGCAGTTGGGAGGACAGGACGCTTCGCCATCGTTCCTCTTCTCTTCTTCTCCTTTTTTTTTCTCCCTCCAACGCCGCGTCAGTCCGGTGATGATATCCGGCAGAGAGGGAATTGGAGAAGCGGTCGGAGTCGACATCCAGAAAGTTCCACTTTACAATAAACATGTATCCTGCAATATGTAATAGCACATACCGAGCATGGACGCCGGTCCCTCAAAAGACGACGGGCAACTGGCCATTGACGAGCACGGCAGGGAACATACCTACGGTATTATATCCGTCCCTTCATGCAGAGCGTTACACCGCACGAGCCACGGCTGCGAGCCACGGCTGCAAGCGGTAACGTCTGAGAGCCTCCTTGCGGGCAGATCCTGGTCATCGGTTTACCGTACTCCGTAATAGTAGGGTCCCCCTGTGGGTACGCATTGTGGTCCGTCGTGGGGGCATGTCACGATACGACTGCATATCTGCGGTTCCTGTGACATTGCTCGTATATCTGTAGTCATGTGTTGCCATCACCGAGAGCAGACGACGTGATGGCAGGGGAGTAAGAAAGAAAAAGATTTTTTTTTTAAACGATTTAAAATTTAGAGATTTTTTTCTTCATTTTTTCTTCATTTTATTCTCAAAAAAAAAAAATTCTTCATGGACATGAACGCGACCGGCCGACCTTGTCCCGGCTCGACTCTTTCGTCCAAGTAGCAGACATGGCTGCCCAACGTTCAAGTATTGCTCAATAATACCCATCCTATCATCTCCAATATATCATCATCTGCTCGTGATATCCCCCCCCCCCCGGTATCATATATACTGGGGAGAGAGGGGGGGAGAGACAGACAGCTCATGGGTGATAATACCCCGTGATATTCCAGGACTCCCCACTACTAAAGGGGGACAGCAACAATGGTTTTCCCCGGACCTTGGGAATACCATTCCACCTGGCCCCTTATCTTCTCTCCTCTCACTCTGACACGGATCTACAATATGCGCCGCTATACCCACACACGGGCCACCGCCGTCGCCGCAGCTCTATGGAGCCTCATGTTGCCTCTTATATCCACAAGGGGACCACGGCCCCACATTCCCGGATTACTACTATGAGATTTGAGCTCTCCTACTCTCTCTCTCTCTGCTCTTCTTCTTCTTCTTCTTCTTCTTCTTCTTCACCTTCTTCACCTTCTTCACATGTGCTAGAGCCTAGCGGCTAAGAGTACGCATTGCGACGCCGCAATTACTACCCAATTGTTAAGCCCCAGAGATACCCATGGAAAATCTTCATTCGTGTACGAGTCATGATACGGGATCGTCGGGACCCTCTCTGGTCCCTTTGTCCCTTACGCCAGACCGCTCCCCGGCCGTGCTTCCGTCTCGCATGTCGCTTACAGGTAACCTGTGCAGCCTTCAGGGGTTTGTTCTCAACTCCTCTGCGACTAGCAAGTATCGGTACGAAGCCATCGTGACATCTCGGGATGATGGGCCTTGGCTGCTCAGCTATGCGTGCTTGCTCATCCCGTGTATCTATCCGTCCGTGCTCTCTTCCTTCCTATTGCGTCTCATCCCCTTCATCTACATCCTGCCACGGTCAGCAGGCATGTCTGCAGCGTCATGAGTATGACCTGGAGTAGGGATCCTCTCCTTCCATCTGCGATAAATATGCCACATCGTCACGGGAACCACCTTACAGCTTGGTCGCAATCCGAACCGGGGGAATACCTACTCAGCTGAACTCTTCTCCTGCGCATTCTTCGCATTCACCGGTAACGTATCGAGCATCACCAGTATTGTCACTGGTACGCTTTGTTGCGGCCCGGTCGTTACTCCGTACAAGGACTGCCATGATGTACTGTGCCCTTTCGGGTCATCCCCTCGCCCCGTCAGCGTCAACGTCACCGTCAACGTCACCGTCTTGGAGGCTCGCCAGTTCCCGACTCGTCTGTAGACGCAGCAGATGAGTCCGTCGAGAGAGGCTGCTGCAGTCAAGCTCTGCACCGTGAGCTCCGGTCTCTGTCCACCACGAGCCCTTCCGCCGCCTGTGTGAATCCACGGATTGGCCCGAATCCGGCATTTCGTGTCTTGTCGTTACCGATGAGAGAGCGCCTCGGGATCTCGTCACGGCCACCACCGGGGGACGCGATGTGACGCCTGACCTGTTCCCGTAACGTCCGTCCTTGCTGAAGGCAACGTCCGGAGCTCGTCCGGAGAGCTCATCTGTCGTCTCTGCTGGTCTTGACTCCTTCTCAGTTTCTTGCCATGGTCGAGGAGTTTTTTTTCTTCTTCTTTTTCTCTCTCACGGTCAGGAACTGAGAGAGCTGCAGGATACCATCATCTCTCTCTCGTGACGGTGATCCTCCCCTGTGCCATGATAGCCCGTCTACTGATGATGTGTTTCATCGGAGTCCCCCATCAGGGCCGGCTGAGTCTCGTCGAGACCAGCCCTGCTTACTGCTGACACGTCTGCGGGTGCCTGTGGAATCACAGACTAGTATACGTTGGAGAGGATACGTGTATATTTCGCTCGGTAACTCTCATCAATACATACTACCAATAGTGTGGTGTCGATATGCCGCTTTTCATATCATCGCTTCATCTCGTCATCGCTCGCTATCCTCGTCAACAGAACACAGGATGAGAATCAGCCTCGTGCGTACACCTTGTAAGCCGCCCATCAAGCTCCAGGAGTTCCACCTCACTCCGTTCCGCTTCTGGGTGGCTCCCCACACAGACACCGGAGGATCATACCGCTGCTCTCGCTGAAGTCCACGGCTCCGACGTATGCGAGCCTGCCTCGGCCAACCTCCGCCACGGCCACTGCGGTGGGGGGAGGGGGGTGGGCATTCTGTACATCATAGCTCTAGTTCCGCCTGTACAGCGACTGCGCGGCGTCGACCGACTCCAGACAGATGACGTTTTCCGTGTACCGAGGAGGGAACGCTCGGAGCAGCGCCCCAGAGTCGCGCTGCGAGTTTACCCCCTAGGCGTGGCGGCGCAGTGGCTCCCTGGCGGGCGTCCGGTCCTTGATCTTCCAGGTCAGGCCGGCCTCGTGGAAGAAGGCTTCGACGGCCCAGGACGGCGAGGCTCTGGCGAAGAGGCCCGTGGTCACGGCCACCCCGCCCCGCCTCACAAAATCCAGCACCGCCGTCCGCAGACGATGGTGCTGAAACGTCACCAACGTCTGGTCCGCGATGATCAGGCCCAGGAGACTCGACTCTTGCGATCTCATCCGCTCGATGAGTTGACGTTGCTCCAGAAAGTCCGACGCCACGAATCCTTGCAGCCTCAGATACCCCATGTATACACCCGAGACTGCAGCCTTACTGCCGGTTGACCTCAGCGCGACGACGGCGATATCCGGGTCCATGGCAGAATGGGGAGGGTCCCACAGCGCCTGCGGCCGCCGCCTCCCCCCGACGGACAGGGTGAGGCCTAGCCTTGCGGTGAACCACAGTGAACGTAGGCGAGCACGCTTCGACCCCGGCTGCGTACCCGCAGGGCAGATGAGCCTGTCACCTTCGGAAGAGGTCCCATTCCCCGCATCGTCTGCAGGGCTTTCCCTGCTCTTTGCGTCATCCAGCGTGTCTTGCGGCCTCGCAGATTCCCTCCCAATGTCCATCTCCGCTGCGGGCCCTTCCTCCGGGTGAGGTTGCAATGCGGCACCTTCAGCACGTGTGGTGGTGCCCGCGGGCGCTGCAGGAGATATGACTGCCGCTTCATCCTCAGTGTTGGTCGGTGTCAGCGGCACTCCGATTTCTGCAGAGGGGCCGGGCTTCCTGAAATGTGCAGGAGGTCGGGAGCGCGGATCAGTCCCCTGGGGATCTGCTGGATTCTCAGCCATCGGATCGATGTGAAAATGATGATAGTATATGATGACAGCATCTGGGTCGTCGAGACCAAATAGGAATGATGGATCGTAGAGGGGATATGGAGATGCAGAGGAAGAAGGGTTGGTCGACGTGGGTTGGACGGCGTCGACCAGTCTCGGTCTGGACATCATTGCTGATTTCAGGGAAGGAAGGTAGCGCGAGGAGGAGGGTAGGTGAGGGGGGAGGATGGGAAGGAGCTCTTTTGAGCCCATTGATGACTGGGAAAGATTGAGCAGTTGTCATATCTCGTTGTCAACCAACTGACTTGTTGTATCTATTTTTATCTATCTTCGGTCAGGATGTGCCGGTAGCTCTTGGGTCTACCTTGACTTGCCAGAAAGATCTCTCTTGGTAGATGTCTCTTCGCGCAATGAAGGGACCCCTTCCGGGTCTTCTCCGTATGTACTCGACCCTCTCTCTTCCTTTCCCCCGTCCCTTGAATAACCCCCTTCCCCCCCTTCTACCTTCCTTTCCGGGGTTTCCCTGAGACTGACAGCCAAAAGCAAAGATGTAGATATAACTATAAGAAAACAAAGTAAAAAAAAAAAAAATTTGGACTTTGCAAAAGCAATAAACATTACTAGTTTGTGAGGCACATGTATATTGTGTATGTGTGTGAGATTCCAACAGATAGAAAGGAAAGAAAAAAAGAAAAAAAAAAAGAGTGAGTGTGTGGTGGGTGGAAGTAAGCGAGCGTGAATGGCAGTGCGGAGAGTGAGAGCGTGCGAGAGTGAGTGAGCGGGTGAGCGAGCGTGAACGAGTGTCGGAGAGGATGCTGGCATGTGTGTCATGCGCATGCGAGTGGGATGATGATGGGTGTGGCAGCGTGTGTATGAGAGAACGTGACTAGAACAGGCCGAATGCAGCCGCAGCCGCTAGGCAGACAGGAAGCGCGAGCTCAGACAGCCCAAGGGTGAGCGAAGTACCGGCTGACGCAGGCTTGTCCGGCGAGGAGTCACCACCACCTTCCGATGAAGTCGTGGTCTCCGCCTCGGACGAGCCCGTCCTGTCAGCCGTGCTGGTAGGCGCGTAGGTGCCGGTAGTGGGCGTGGCAGGGGCGGGCGTGACGGTCTTGGAGGAGGACGAGTCGTCGTCCTCGGCGTCGTCGGACCTCGCGGCGAAGCCGATACGCTTCTCGTCCGCGTCGAAGACGGCATAGACGTTCTTGAGGAAGGTGTCGCCGAGAAGCCAGGCGCCCTGGACGGCCTCCTGGCCGTAGATGTTGCTGGTGCACACGCCGTCGCTGTCCTTGGGGGAGATCCAGTCCCGGGGGGAGACGTCGAAGCCGGTGCCGCCGAAGATGAAGGTCAGGGGCATGTCGAGGTCGCAGGGGACGGTGTACGAGGTGCCGTCGTCGGACTCGGCGCCGGGGACCACGGCGTGGACGGCCTTGACGAGGTCGGGGGGGCCGAAGACGAAGGTGGTGCCCGTGTCGATGTAGGACGCCACGCCGCCGGCGCCCGAGCCCTTGCCGTCGCAGGAGACGTCGTCGAGCTGGATGACCCACGAGGTCGTGCTCGGGTCGACGTCGACGTAGGTGATGTCGCCCTTGTAGCGGGTCCGGTCGGCTCCGCCAAAGGTGATGGCGCCGTCGTTGTCGTCGCCGTCCGTGGCGCGGTGGAGCGAGATGCCGAAGACGTTGGCGTCGATGTCGCCCGAGTCGGACAGCACGTCGAGAAAGTTGTCGCTGCTGCCAGAGTCCATCGACAGGCCGAGGATGCCGTCAAAGGCGAAGTGCTCGAAGTCGTCCGAGGTGTCGTTGGCGGCACCCATCCTGTAGTCGAAGCAGATGTCGTCGGTCACGCAGATGGTGTCGGTGAACAGCTCGCCCTTGACCTCTCCCGTACCGTAGGCGACGGAGAAGTCCTGGCCGGCGTCCTTGTACGTGTCCGAGTCGTCCGAGCCAAAGCTGCTGTGCAGGGCGCAGGCCTTGGAGCTGCAGTCGGTACCCATGACCCAGCTCGACCCGGCACCCGTGTCGATGAGCATGTACATGGCCTTCTTCTCGGACCCCAACCTCACCTCGATAAAGTACGAGTAGTCAGTTCCGTCCTGGTCGATGCCTGCCGTCTTGGAGGTGTCGGGGTCCTCGGCCTCCATGACGGAGTACTTGTTGCCTGATCGTTTGGCGACGTCGCTGCCGTCGTGACCGTCGCCGGTGCGGTACTTTTGGGCTAGACGGCCTGCTTCGCGGGCGGCAACCTTGGAGGAGGGTTCGGTCGAGGGCTGGCAGAGTTCTCTGTCAGTTTCGAACGGCCCCTGTTCTGTATGATTTGCCATCTCTCTTCTTTTTTTTTCCAACGTCCTTACCTGACTGCTGCCATGCCGCCTGATGCCATAGGTTACGGCACCATCGTCCCGCGAGTCCAAGCCGGTCTTCTCTTCAAGATCCTTGAGCCATTTCGGGGTGAATGGGTAGAACGCATGCACTGATGATGTACACAAGGCCAATCGTGTGAGGAGCGAGCCGGAACGCATGATGCTGCCGTCCTTGACCTGTCTCGCTCGGTGGGTTCTCGGGGTAGGACGAGTAGCAGAGGGCTGTCGTCGTGGTCGTCTTCGTGTCGAATCAGGCAGGGGGCATCTCCAAGTTAATAGGACGCCGGATGCTGATGGGCGACGAGTTGACGAGAGAAGCGAGACGGGTGAGGAGGAATGGAGGGGAACGAGGTTTCGCGATACGAGGTTGCTGTCCCAAGACTGGAATTCCGGGGTTGCCGCTGCTGCCGTCCAGAGTTCAAGACACGTCCAGGAACCGCCAACACAGCACACCAGATCCGAGAGAGAGGGGGGGGAAGGGAAGGAGGAAGAGAGGAAGGGGATGAATTAATAATAATAATAATAATAATGACAACAGCAGCAGCAAGGTAAGACAATATGAAGCAAAGGAGAGACAGAACAGAAGCAACCAAAAGACGAAGAATGGGGGAAGGTGGGAAGGTGGCGTAGGGGACAGAGATGCACACCGGGGCGTGGGGTAAGAAGGAAAGAGGAGAGGGAAAGAGAGGAAGACGGAGGGATGGAGGTTGGAAGTGATGATGGAGCAAGATACGACTACGGGGAATTGGCGACGATCACACGGGGGTTCCTTACAGCGGCTATCCACTGCTACAGGTACAAGGTACTGCAGGGAAATTGAATATCATTACAGCGTAGAAGTCCAGCAGAGTCTGTACGGAGTAACGACTCCTGCTGGATTTGTCTGCAGATTGCGGCTGGACTGCCTACTCGACTCGTACAGATAGATTGCCCGTACTGCTGCAAGTCTGCCCCGTACAGTCTGCAGGTTATACTCGTATGACATGCGAATGCAGAGCTTCATCTAGCATATCCTCCTTCCTTCCCTCGAGTCTCGGTGACGTGCATCCTATAACCTGTACAGTATTATCACTCGCATTGACCTGCCCTCGTACATGTATCGAATAGTATTCTCCGTACTCGCACAATATCATCAAGCCACGGCCCATGGCCCATCATCACCCTCGTTCCTTCCCCCCCTGCATCTTTTTAGAGTCTCCACACGTCTCCACATGTCTCCACCCTGGCAGAGAACTCTGGGGGTGGTCAGTCCTTATAGACTCTGACTGGTTAGATCTTCTGCCGCCTTCCTGCCCGCCCTGGCCGCCTGTTGCTCTGTTCAGTTGCTTGGTTGCATGGTTGCTTGGCTGTGCCTTGGACCTTTCTTGGCTGATTACATATACAGGTAACATTACATACATTTACAGCGTGTGCGTAGTAGTGATACATGACCCATTACATACCTGTACATGTATGTACGAGTACGTCTTGACTCGCGATACCCTCCTACTAATAACATCCAACAGTCCAAAAAAAAAAAAAAAGATACCAAAAAAGATATTGTATATATCTAGGACTAAGGCAGAGAAAAAAAAAAAAGAAGGGAAAAGAAAGGAAAGGAAAAGAAGAGGAAAAAAATACATTTCAAAACAAGGATTCATCATCTCTTCCATCCCGTTCGCAGACAGCATTGCCGACGACGGTATAGCACTCAGTGAGAGCACAGCCACCCACAGGAGAGGACCGTTGCCCTAAGCCACGAAGCAGAACATCTTTTCATCGCGACCTTGTGCGTGTACGGGTACCAGGTATCGTTACTGCTGGAGACCGATACTAACATGTAGATGTACTCGTAGTCTCTGCTCGTAGCCTCTACTCGTAGCCTCTAGGACACACTCACTATATGAATGTGCTCGTACAGTATCTGAGCTTATCCCCCCTGTCGATCTTGAACCTTGGCAGCTGCTTCCCGACATCCTCCTCTCCTCCGTTGGCCACTTCAACGTATCATGCAGCATCAGCTCTCTCTCTTCTCTCTCTGACTCTCTGTGTCTCTGTGCTGCGTACGTATACGGCTACGACTTTTTTTCTTCTTCTTTTTTTTTTCTTTTTTCTTTGGACTTCTTGGCTGCCGTCCCGGTAGCCCGCTGCTCGCCTGCCAGACTCCCGCCATTGTGCGTCGTCTCGAAGGTTGTTGGCGGCCAGAGTGCTGCGTCCATGTTATCCTTCCTCCCCCCCCTCCCTGCTCATCACAACTCGGATGACCCACGTCTGCGCGATTCCTGTTCCTGTTCCTGTTCCTCCTGCATCCTATCGGAGTCATTACTCCGTACTTGTACTCCTTTGGGGGGACAGATAAAGTCGTGACCCGTACAGGTTAATTAGATACGCAGTCTGATATCGTCACCTAGACCTCCCAGTCCCGTCCTGTGATGTCATGAGGATTGAAGCTATCGACTAGTCTTATTATTTTTCTTCCTTCTCCTCAATCCTCCCCTTTTCTCTGCACATAATTTACTTCGTCTTCAGTGCTGATATGTCACCCTGTAATCTGTATTGCCATTAATATCCCGTTATCGCCTCCGGGATATGGCAAATTAGCACACACGAGGGTGAGCCACTTTGAGGACAGGAAAATCACCCGTCTGACAAGCATGTCACGGAGCACGACCGGGGGGGGGGAGGGGCAGACGCCTACCGAGTCCATAGCAAACGAACCCTCATCTGGGCCATGCTGTCGATGGAGAGTTGCCGCCCCTAATCTATCATCTATCAGTTCTAGCTCTTGTCTCCTTTCAATTTTGACTCCACAGGTCCCATAATACGACGTGACGTGAATCCATAATAGTCCAGATCTTGACCGTTGATTCAGGGATCCGAGCATCCCAAGTCCCAGGCCCCTTGAAAGCTGCTGTCGCCCACGACCAGGGAAGGGGGGGGGGGGGGGGGGGGGGGGGGGGGGGGGGGGGGGAGGGGAGAGACCCAGCGTGACGGCATATCTGCTCCATCTCATCTCGACCAGACCTACACGCGCTCAAGAATGGGCCGTGGCACGTACGTCTATCTATCCAAGAACACCAACTACTGATACTCCGTGGTAGTGCACCCTGTACGGGATCCACGCAATCTGTACAGAGAGGCATGATGATGATTGCTCGTACGAGAGATGAGATCGCGGCAATCCTTTTTTTTAAAACCCACGGGCCATGATGCTGCTAGGTGACGATGCATGTGATCCGTACTCGTAGTAGTACGTCAACCACAGGCGTGACATTCTTTGACGCGAGTTCTATCGAGAGACAGAGAGGCTTGCCCGTCTGTTTCACCACAAGACCGCCTGATAAACACCCGGGCCAACGGCATCCCGCTGACGACGCGATACGAGATATTACTCGCATGCAGCACGTCCTACGCGTGCATCTCTAGCCAGCCCCTGACAAGCCGCCCGAAACTCGCTCAGCCGGACTGATCTCTGAAAAGACTCTCGCACAGCAGCTGTAGAGCCCTCTGTCGGCGTCTTGTGCATGCCCGGGAAAGATTCCGTATGCCGGATCCGTCTCACGCCGTGTCGGGCATGTTCGTCTGTGTAGGCTGCCGTCGTGATCCTCTCCGCTGCTCCTCGCCTGTGCCGCGTACACGCTCCATGGCACGTCGAAACCCCAGGACATCGTCCACGTGTTCCGACGCCGCTAGGTTTCGCAGAAAGTACCACACCGACTCGTTCCGCCACCGAAACCCCTCAGCCAGCCGTATCGTATCGTCAAACACCGCCCTAGCCTTGCCCTTGGCTTCCTCCCGGTCCTTGCCGAGCAGCAGAGACAGGAGGAACATCCAGCCGGAGACGTCGTCGTGGTGCGCGAGGCACCATCTGCGCGTGTCGTCGACTAGCCCGTCCATGTCGTCGGCGCTGCCGTCCCAGCACACGTCGACCAGGTGACGCGCGTGGCACCAGGCGTAGTAGTTGCGCGGGTGCCTCTCGCCCGAGACGAAGACGACGCGACGCAGATCCGACGCCGCGTCGACGGGCAGCCCCGCGCGCCCTAATTGTCCGAGCAGCCAGCGACGGTGACTCCAGAGGGTGGGGGACTTGGTGTGCCGGTGGAGGCGGCTGGTGAGGAGACTGTCGATGAAGTACTTCTCCCGCTGCAGCATGTCTGGTGTTGCCGCCGCCGCCGCCGCCGCCAGCGTGCGCTTCCGGGTGTTGGCCGCCGTGAGGTTCTCCGCATCCATGAGGAGCGCCACGGCCGTCGCCTGCATCACCACCTCGCGGCTCTCCGCCAGATTGGGGGCGGAAGACGGCGCCCCGTAGCCGAGCTTCTTCCTAGCCGCGATGAAGGCTTGGACGAGACGTAGTTTGGGAAGCGCGAGCGCGTTGCCGTCCTGTAGATATACCGCGTCGTGGGGCAGGACATGGCTCGGGCCCAGCAGTTCGATTTCCAGAAGGTGCTCGTGCCGCTGCGCCAGGGCAGACGCTACCTCTGAAAATACCTTCTCGTGGTCGCCGTGCCCCAGAGCCTCCTTGATGCCCTTGTCGAGCGCCCTGGACATTTTGTATCTCCGGCATGAGTGCGTGTTGCCGCTACCAGCCGGTGCCGCTCTCGGGCGACTGCAGGCGACGGGTTTTAGCGGGAGGGGAGGCATAGATAGAGATTATTACTAAGGGAGGATGCACTCATCCCGTAAGCGGTACGCATCCATAATATAGCATGCTGCCTTTTGCCTTCTCATATCCACCTCTCCCACCCGACAAGCTTCTGCGATATATTTAATATAGTAGCTAGACTTCGCCCTCCCTTCCTCACCTAGATGCTAGTAGATCCACTTCACCATAGCTTCGGATCGAGACAGCCTGCGACGTACGACATGCAGTAGACAGCCGCCAGGCTCATGGGACCGCCAAAGCCCAAGCCCAGGGCCAAGACCTTCACTGGGTAAGTCGGCCGATCGCTTTCGCTGGGGTTTCTGGACGTCGGCTGATCGGACAGCTGTTGGACATGCCGGGCCCGCAAGGTGAAATGTGATCTCGCGCGGCCGCACTGCAGCCGCTGCGATAAGGCGCGAGTGGAATGCCGGGGCTACGGCCTTCCCCTGTACTGGGTGATGCAGGACGAGCTCTCGGTGCCGGCTTTCAAGCGCCAGGCGAGGAGTCTACCGCGTGGGTGGATTGAGCCCAAGCCGCACATGTCCGTGCCTCTCTCTTCTGCCGGCTGACCAAGGAAGGGAGAGCAGTAGGGAACCCGCACTGGCCTCCGGCCTCTGTGCACGGCGACGTCGTCGACGACTGCCTGCGGGATATCGAGCAGCTGGTGGAACGGATGCCGCGCCCGGACGGTTTCTGGTCGGGACCCTTTGGCGTCTTCCGTCTGGACGGGGAGGTCACGGCTGCCACGGTACCGCCCTCGGGCATAGCCGAGGAGGTTCTGCCCCTGCCAGCGGGCCTGGAGCTGATGCTTGCCTCCCGGCGTTCGGACACACCCTCGACGGTGACGGCAGGCAACGCCGGAAGCATCGACGACTACGACGAGGACCTGGACGGGGCGGTGCCTCGACAGCCCTCCACCGACATCCTGCCCCTGGTCGCCTGGCCGTTCGAGGCCGATGCGCGCACCGATACTTTGGTGGGACGGCTGCTGGACCACTACGTGTGCAGGGTGTCCAACCTGCTGCAGCCCGTGCTTCATGCCCGCAATGCCTACAGCACCATCTACGCTAACGAGGCCTTGGCAGTGGCTCGACGGATGTCGTTGCGACCCGACCCTGCTTCCGGGCCGGTCCAGGATCACGGTTGGGATAGCAAGGTTGCCCTCATGTACTCGCTGCTGGCCTCGTCCAGCGTCCACATGAGCGGCGGCCGTCGCTCGTCGGATGGCACGCACGCCATCTCACGGTCATTCCGTGTCCACGCCGTTTCCCACCTACGAAAGGCGCTGGGATCACTGTCGGTGGCCAGCCGAGGTGAGGGCTACGACGGCCGTCGGCGAGGACAGGACGGTACCGCGATAACGACGGCACCGCCCCACGTACCCGCGCAGCTCGAGGCCGTGCTCAAGGTGATGCTGACGCTCGTGACAGCCGACATCATGGATGGCCACATGGACGAGTTCTGGATCCATCTCGACGCCACGCGCGCCCTGGTCCGGTGCCTGCAGCATCGCGTGCCACCGGGGTCGTCCGGCGAGCACCTGGTCAACATCGCGCGCTTCCTGCGCATCATCAGCGATTCGACCGATGTGACACTCGCACCGGTGGCATGGACGACACCCAGCCGGGAAGCCGGCTTCGTCGGAGGCGGCCGCTCGCTCGAGTACACGTACGGGATCACGGCACGTCTCGCCCTTCTGCTGAGCCGTGCTGGCCGCCTGGCCCGCAGCGCTGCCTACTACTACGCCACGCCGACTGGCCGGGCCGCGGAGCTCCCGCTTGCCTTTACCCAGGCCTGCGATGCTCTCCTCGCCGACCTGACGGCCTGGCACATCAGCCAGGAGACGCTGCCATCCTTCTCGGAGAGCGATGACGTTACGGGCCTGCTGGCAGCCAAGCACATCCATGCCTTTGCCGGCAGCATCCAGATATACCTCTACGCTCGCGTCGTGTCCCCGGCTGTGGCGGCGGCGACATCGCCGTCAGCGGCATGGCCGTCCTCGGCCTCGAGATTGCTCCTAGGATCTCGCATGACCGCCCTCGGCCACGCTGTGGTCGGCCACTTGGCTGACATCGAGGCCATCAAGGCACGCACTGGCTACGCCGCCGATACACCTACCGCCACTATCACGTGGCCCGGGTTCATTGCGTCGTGCCAAGCTGGTCGCGACCCCGCGCTGCGAGCCGCGTGGACCAAGTGGTGGCGCCAGATGGTGGGCTACGGGATCGGTAATATCCACGACCTGTGGTCGGTAGTGCAGCAAGCGTGGGCTCTAGACGAGAGTGAGCCGTCAGAATTGGACGTGCCCTGGGCGGCCGTCCTGCGACGTACGGGACGGCGCATCCTCGCCATCTGATGCCCTTTTTCCCCCTCCTTCCTCTTCCCATTCTGGTGTGGACCGTGGCCCTAGCATCAGTCGCGGCCTACGAAACTGTTCATATCTAGGGCTTATTGTTGATTAGAAATGAAGATGGGGCGATGATAGGAGAGAGTTGGAAGATGTTGTCCAACAACGGATGCTGTGTTATCAATTGTGGAGACGAGGCGATCCTGCTGTTAACAACTCGATACTCGTAAAGCCGTCTTGCCGACGTTTCGGCTAACGATGACCGATACCGACCTTGGGGGCTTTTTATTATATTTTTATTTTATTTTATCTATCTATTTTAATCCTTAACGCCGTAATACCGATACGGTCCAAGGCTATGAGGTCTCGTTCCTGCTCGCTGACGCTTTCCTCCCGGCAACGAACGGCCGAGCTCGGAAGCCTTCGACACTGGGGTTTGGCTGATCAGTATTGCTACCTGCATTATATAGGATCTAGATCATGAGCCTGCGCAGTCTGTATTACATGTGTTCAGGGAGACGAGAGAGACCGACATAGGAAGAAGAGATAAGCTGGTAGTAAGTATCATCTGGACACCCTCGAAACAATCTCTGAACCCCGCCAACCGCCAAGCGCGAAGCCACGCCGACCTTCCTGCTACCATGGTGCAGCACATTGCCCGAGAGGCCGGCCTGCAGGCCTTCATCGACGCCTTGGAGAAGGACGGCTGCGTCGTGATTCGGGACTTTACCGACTCCGAGTCGCTGGATCAGTCCGTCAGGGAGGTGCAGCCCTACCTTGACGAGTCGGCGGCGGCGTCGGCCAAGAGCACGACGGGCGCGCTCAACGGCGGCACGGCCACGTGCACGCGGCTCGTCGGTCGCAGCAAGACGGTGCGCGAGAAGTTCTTCTCGGACAAGCTATATCAGGTACGTTCGTCCTCTCCCCCGCTCTCTCTCTCTCTCTCCCTTTCATGACGTCGAATGATCAGAGCTTGGAGGCTCACTCGCGCGCAGGATCTGGGCGACTACTTCCTGGGGCTGGACACGACCATCTACATGGGCGGGGAGCCGGTGGTGTACCGGTCCGACCCGCTCCTGTCCATCTCCATCACCATGTCGTCGCAGCCCGGGTGCAAGCCGCAGCTGCTGCACCGGGACGACAAGAACCACCACGCGCGGCACGCGGCGGCCGCGTCGTACAGCCGCGGACGCGACATGCTGCTGGGGCTCTTCGTGCCGACGTGCGACACGTTCCGGGCCAACGGGGCGACGCGCATCGTCCCCGGATCGCACCTCTGGGGCGACGACCGGCCAGACTTTGGCCCCGACGGCACCGCCGGCGTCGTCGACGCCGAGCTCAAGCGCGGAGAGGCCTTTGTCATGCTGGGCAGCCTCTATCACGGGGCGGGGGAGTACTCGATGCCGACGGGATGCCGCACCGTCCACATCATGTTCATGTGCGACGGTGTCCACCGCCAGGAGGAGATCCCGTTCCTCAGCTACCCCGTTGACCATGTCAGGACGTACTCCAAGCTGGTGCAGGATCGGCTGGGTTGGAAGCAGTCGGAACCTAACCTTGGCTGGGTGGACCTCAAGTCGCCCGAGTTCCTACTTGCATGACGGGTCGGTCGATAGCGTCAGCATGCGACGTCTCCCGCTTGACGTGTCGGTCGGGTGGTAGGTGGATGGATGTTGACATGTATCTCTTCACGAGAAGAGATGAGCCGAAACAAGATTGAAGAGGCATCACCTTCCGAAATGGCAAGGTACTCAGCGGCCGAAGGGATGCTATTCCCCGTCAGTATCTGAATACCACATCAATCAAGAGCATACTGCTACTCTACTCGTACATGCTAGCACGACAACAGAAACGTGGGCCGTCGACTGAGTGGTATCACCACCCATGTGATTCAACGTGTCGTTATTACCATCAGACTACAACTCCGTTCTTGTTAACCCCGTACTGCGACCTTGCGGAACCATGCGGAACATTGTCCCGATTGCCCTTTTCCGATCTACGGGGCTATGACAGTTTGACAGTCCCGACATGTCTAGATGGATGGCCTGGCTGCAATGTGTAAGTGAACCCATTGTGTGGAGGGGTGGGGCCGGATTTGACCGGACTCTCATTTATTTTTTATTTTTTAAATATATGTACATATTATATATTTATATTTGCATATATATTTATCATTTCAAGGATGGCAACCTTCAGCGAGGTGCTCTCTTTCTATATTACTCTTATCTCCTGTGATATATATCAGGTTCACGATGACAAGGAAAGATGATAGTGAAATATATCTGGAACTAAGTAACTAGTGATCAGCTTCCTCCACCGTCCGCGCCTTTCAGTCCTAGCCATCATGACTAGTTGATCGTACATGTAAGAATTGGACAAGGTGAACTAGAATAATCCAATGCTCATTTTTCATTCATTTCTCTCCCCCCTCCCCCCTCCCCCATTGGATTCATTCTCGCTGACAATTACTTCCCATGTCGTGCATGATGATTGAACCTTGGAACGGACCCGCCGTGTGAATCATGATGGAGGGAGCATGGGAGGAGAAGAAGACCTTGCCCGTTTATGGAGACGTCTTATCTTGACCGGGAATTGTGTCTACAACTGCCGGCAGCAAGCGGTACGCATGATGCAATCGTAGCTGACATCTTGCTAATATATCACGGCACCCAAGGTCTTCTCACACTCTTTCCCACCATCATCGTGTCTTGCTTTTTCTTTTCTTCTTCTTCTTCTTCTTCTTCTTCTTCTTCTTCTTCTTCTTCTTCTTGTTCTTGTTGTTGTTCTTCTTCTTCTTCTTCTTGTTCCTTCCGGGCTATGCTGTTTTCCCAATCTATTCGACAAGGAGTCTCAATCCTATACGTGCCGTCATGTCGTCCTTCTCAGAGAAGGTCAAGGTCGAGGGCACGGTTCAGCCTCAGCCTGAGTCGTCGTCTGAGTCGGCCACACCCGGCACCAAGCGCGGTCTCAAGCCGCGACACTCGCAGCTCATCGCCCTCGGCGGCACCATCGGGACCGCCGTCTTCGTCGGCAGCGGATCGACCCTGGCCAAGGGAGGCCCCGGCTTCACCCTCATCGCATACGTCGTCATGTCCATCTTCGTCTTCTTCATCGTCGGCGCCATCATCATGACGGCGTCCTACCTGCCCGTCAAGGGCGCTACTCCCGCCTACTTCTCGCGCCGTTACGTATCGCCGTCTCTAGGTTGGGCCATGGGATGGTACTATTGGTATTCGTTTGTAAGTTTTCTGTGCCTCTTTCTTCATGTTCTCCCTACACATGTATTCCATTGGTGCCCGTTCGCGCTGCGTTCGTCCGCCGGGAGTGCATATCTACGCAAGGTGAACGTGATACCTCATATGCGAGACGGTATGAGGGAGCAGATAGCGAAGTAACAGGGAGGGGGGGAAGCAGCACGGAAAAGTCTACTGACCACGTTGATGGGGGGAGGGGGGAGAAAAAGGGTATCCTCGTTCCCTACGAAGTCACGGCGGCGACACTCATCATTGACTTCTGGAACCCGCCCGTCAACCCGGCCGTGTGGATCACCATCATGATTGTCATCATCGTCGCCCTCAACCTGCTCCCCGTGTCCGTCTACGGGGAGACAGAGTTCTACTTTGCCTCGCTCAAGATCGTCACCATCATCGGCCTGCTCATCCTGTCCTTCATCCTCTTCTGGTGGGGTGGACCGCGTGACCCGCACCTCCTGGCCTTTACGTACTGGAACAAGCCGGGCGCCTTTAACGCTTACATACTCGAAGGCACGCGTGGCTACGTCGTCAGTTTCTTCAGCACCCTCATCTCGGCGCTGCTTCCGGTCAGTTCTCCTCGCTCTGTCCATGATGTACCATCGCAGCTGTACCGACCGGGTTGTGGGTTGCCGGGAGAGCTAACTCTGTCCCCGTGTAGTTTTCCTTTGCCCCCGAGATGCTCGTCTTCTGCTCGGGTGAGATGAAGTCACCGAGGCGGAATCTGCCAAGGGCGGCGAGGAGCTTCATGTTGCGCATCATCATCTTCTACATCGGATCCATCCTGGCCATCGGCATCATCTGTCCGTCCGACGAGCCGGATCTGACGAGCGGGCAGGCGGGGGCCTCCTCGTCGCCGTTTGTGCTCGGCATCCGCAAGGCGGGCATCCGCGGGCTGGACAGCGTCATCAACGCCGCCATCCTGACGTCGGCCTTGTCGGCCGGCAACGCCTTCATCTTCCAGTCCAGCCGCGGCCTGTACTCGATGGCGCTCAACGGCGACGCGCCCGCCATCTTCGCGCGCTGCGACAGGCGCGGCGTGCCCTACGTGGCCGTCGTCGCCACCTCCCTCTTCTCCCTGCTCGCCTACATGAACGTCAACACCGAGGCCAGCACCGTCTTCAACTGGCTCGTCAACCTGGTCAACACGGCCGCCTTCATCTCGTGGGTCAGCTGCGCCGTCACCGCCCTGCGCTTCCAGGACGCCCTCGATTCCCAGGGCGTCGACCGCGCCCAGCTTCCCTTCACCTCGCGCTTCCAGCCTTGGTCGTCGTACTTTTGCATCGTCGTCTTCACCCTTCTGTGCCTCATCAACGGCTTCACCGTCTTCCTCCCCGGGTCGTGGTCTACCTCGTCCTTCTTCAGCAGCTACGTCGGCATCCCCATCTTCTTCATCCTCTACTTCGGCCACCGCTTCACCGCCGGTCGCAATGATCCCTGGGCCATCCCCCCGACCAAAGTGGACCTGCACACGGGACTTGACGAGCTCAAGGCCGACGAGGACATGTCGCCGCCGTCACCCTCGTTATGGAGCCGTATACGTAGTAGCTCGGTCGCTAGGGAATAATAGTAGCATCAGTCGAAGCGTCATATCATGGAAGAGAGCTTGGAACAGAAGAGTAGCCAGAAACGCACCTTCACTATGCACAAGTAAAAGCAAGGAAACAAATTATAGATCAACGATTGAGAAATCCTCATCGAGTCTTTATCTCCTCCCCTCCATCTCTCTCCTCCTTCAGACCTCATGTACAATGTATTTTTTTTTTTCAAAGTTTGGAGACTGGCGGGGTTGAAGCGTAAGAGTTCAGGGTAAGATTTTCTGGACACTTCCATGTGAGGAGGGGCGTGATGACATGGCTCTGCCCACTTTGGTGCCAGCGCAGCAAAGCCACCACGAAGTCACGCACAAGAAGCTCTCCCCTCCACACAACACACAACACAATGCCAGAGGCATAGCATTGGAACCCCTCCCCCCCCCCCCCCCCCCCCCCCCCCTCCCCAAAAAGAAGAAAAAAACCCTCGTCACGACGATAATTCCAGCATCGCATTCGGCAAGATGATGCCCTTTGTTCTCGCCCTCGTCTTCACCATCGAGGTTGTGTCGCGCCTGATCAATGCGATAGGGTCGACTGTTATCAACGACTTTGTGCGTCGTGTCTTCCCATCCTCTCCTGTGCGACGACGGAGGAACCTCTGCTAACCGTTTTCTTCCTTTCCTCTCCGGTCACTGCAGCTCTGGACGTTGGTCAACTACCTACCGATCTCGACATCCAAGTCGGCCGCTCAGCAGCGCAAGTTGCAGGCAGAATACCTCAAGGTGCGGGCCGAGCTCAACGCTACGAGCAGCCAGGACGAGTTTGCAAAATGGGCACGGATTCGTCGCCAGCACGATAAGCTTCTCGAGAAGCTCGAGGCTACAAGTGGGTTCTATACACATACCTACTCTCTCCTTTCTGGATTACAGAGAGAATAAGAGAGGGGTCTTTTTTTTTTTTTTTTTTTGTTGGCTGACGAAGATTTCTATAAAAAAAAACAGAGAAGACCATGGAGGCGGCGAGGGGCAGCTTCGACAAATATGTGAATGGAGTGCGTATCATCGTCACCAAAGTCCCCCAGTACCTCGTGCCGTTCTGGTACTCCAACGAGCCCATGTTCTGGATCCCTCATGGCTGGTTCCCCTACTATGCCGAGTGGATCATCTCCTTTCCTCGCGCTCCTCTGGGCAGCGTGAGCGTGGCCTCGTGGCAGCTTGCCTGCTCCGGCGTCATTGCCCTCGTCAGCGATCTGATTTCAGGAATATACGGTCTCATGCGTAACGGGTCCTACGAGAGGGCAGCCGGTAAGACGGCAGCCACCGACGAGAAGAAGGAGTTATAATATGGGCAAGAAAGCACAGCGAGCAGCATTCTGATGGACGAGCGTATCATGTTTTCTATTTCTTTTCTACGGGTATATATTCTTCATGTTGAAGATTGGGAATACATATGGGCTTCGGCTTCTTCATGCAAGAAAAAAAACGTATTCTTCTCGCCTAAGAGTAGTGTTTACTTTACTCAGGGGGGAGGGGGGGCAGAACTGTATCTCCTTGAAAATTTTGACGCAAAGTTCTTCATCGCCGGAGCTGAGACTTTGTAACACGAACAGAGAATGACCCTTGGCAGGGTATTTGGGGATTGTTCTAGGCAACATATTGACTCTAGCGACCACGGAGGAAAGAGATCGCCAAAGCTTCGAAAGTGCCAACGTGTCACGGGGGGGGGGGGGGATGAGAAGGGTAGCAGGAGGGAAGGAGGGAGAAGAGGCAGATGGATGAAAAGTAGTAGCATTGTTATTGTTTTTTTCGTTGTTCTTCTATAGGATCGTAAGCATGACGGAGACCGAACGGCACGATCGACGGTCGTATATTGTTGTCGTAGGGGAGGAGAGGAAAAGGATGGGGGAAAAGAGAAGAAAAAACGAGGGTGAAAGGAGGAAAGTTGACAAGAGGAAGAGACGAAAAAGTCAGAGGGCAATTATAGGCGTCAGTAATTTTCTACCCCCCCTCCCCCCCCCCACACCAGTAAAGCAACCTACAATGTTTAGCGCCACATGTCATCCATCACTCGACGTACGGCTGATTGTACCTGGCATATTGTTAGGAACCTTTGGTAGCAACATCATCAGCCTCTCTCCAGGATAAAGACGTGACCTTTTCTGACCTTTTCCTTTTTTTCCTTTTCCTTTCTTCTTCTTGTTTTCTTGTTTTCATCTTATCTTTATTCTCCTTTTTTCCGTAACTCTCTTTTCCCTTCGAAAAAGAAAAAGAAAAAAACCCCCGATTTTGCCCAGCATGACAATATCGTGGGATTCGTACGTCCCCGTCCCATACACCCCCCTCTCTTTCTCTCTCTCCCACTCTTTATTCATTACTGACATTGAGGCAATAGCATCCGCTCCCTGGTCATATTCTTCGGCCCCATCCTCGTCCCCAAAGCGATAGCCTACTACCGTACCGTCCGCAACGCCCCGCGCCGACAAGGTCTGACTGTGCAGCCCGTCCCCCCGCGCGTGCGCCTCTCGTTGGCGGTCCTGCTGGCCCTGTGCCTGGGCTATGTGGTGCTCTCGTTCCCGGCCATGGGGCCGGAGAACCTCTTTCGGCAGACGGACAGCCGCCTCCAGATACCGGTGGACGTTCTGTTCAACCGCGTGGCCGCCACGCTCCGGTCATCCAACGGCAACGCGCTCACGGCCCGGGACCACGCTCTGCGTGCCAAGTTCGTCAACCTCGAGAGTCGCCTGCTGTACCTCCGCTTCGGCCCGGACGTCCTGGCCGACTGCCCGTTCTGCACCGTCGATGAGCCCAAGACGTACATGTACTACGCGCTCCCGGACCTGACGTGGCCGCACGTGGCGAACCTGGCGGTCCTCGCCGCCGCCACCAGCCCGGGCTGGACCTCTGGCAAGCGCGGCGGCGGCGGCGGGTGGCGCACCCCCGCTACCGTGGCCGCCCTGCTTCTCGCCAGCCTGGACGTCTACCTCGTCGGAACGTACAACCACGGCGTCAACGCGCGGGCCCCCCGCCTGGCCGACGTGGACATGTTCTTCTGGTCCGCCCGTGTGTATCGCCTGCTCGCGCTGGCCGGGCTGGACGCCGCCGTCGCCGGCCTGCTGTTCCTCTCATCCACGAACCGCGCCTTCGCCCCCGAGCCCCAGCCGCTGGACCGCATCGACCCCGTATACCGCCGCCTGCTGGCCGTCAGGGCCAAGATGAACGCCCTGGGCATCGTCAGGAATACGGCCGTGCGGGACCAGGACCTGCGCTCCCGCACCCACGCCTACTGGGCTCACGAGGTCGACCTGATGGCCGACATCATGCAGGATGCCGACGTCGTCCGCGGCGTCAACGATGCCCTGACAAACAGGATCAACATCGACGACATCACCCGTGACGCTGATGTGTATTCGCGGAATGTGCTGCGGCCATTGGATGATGACAACGAGGATTAGGCCGTGGATAGGTGGGTCTGTTTCTTTTGTTTCATGATCTTGTACCTTTTGCATCGAAGATAGCATAATGAGAGTCCTTATTTAGTTTACCCCCCCTAATTGCCAATATACATCTTCTCCCTCTCTCTCTCTTCTTTTTCTTATTATTCTCTGATCGTCTAATGCACATTTGTGGTCCAAACAAAATCTCACCAGGATGCGCGCGTCCCCCTCTCCTTTTTCTCCTCCTCTTTCTTGCCATACAACAAAAATAATCGCGTCTATCCCGGCTTAAGAAGGGGAAGAAAAGGAAGAGACAGGCAATGCAACAAGTCTATTTGTCGAACGCGGCCGGGGGGAGGGGGGGGGGGGGGGGGGGGGGGGGGGGGGGGGGGGGGGGCGTAAGTAGCGGATGAGAGAGCCCCAGGGATGATGAGCGAGGTGAAGGAGGGGTTGAGGATGCCAGGGTACTACCAGTAGTATCATCACTACTGTGGTCGCTGCCAGTAGTGAGAAAGGGGGAGGGGGGGGAGGGTCAAGGTTTCGACGAGTCTAGCTTTTCTGTAGTGTGCGAAGCGCTCCCGACACTACCCTTCCTACTGCCCGAGGCCTCCCCGGCACCCTCCTGGGCGCTGCGCTCCAGGAATCCTGCCCAGAGCTCGGCAAGGGACTCCCTATCCTTTCCAGACGAGGGTTCGGAGAAGAGGTCCGCGCTCAGGGGAGGGGAGCTGGGCGTGCGGTTGAACGGGGATAGCGGGAGGCGCAGGCTGTTGCTGGATGATGCACCCGGGCGGGAGAGGCCGGCCTGCTCGCGCTGCTCGTCGGTCCAGTTGAGGTAGCCGGCCATGACTTGGAGGACCTGGAAGCGCTTGACGTCCCCACGATCCAGCGTGAGGAAGTGGAGAAGGTGGTTTGTGACGATTTGTCTGGCGTAGGTGTCAGTAAAAAAGAAATAAAAAAGAAGTTTTTTTTTTTAAAAAAAAAAAAAAAAAACTGAAAAGTTGAGACACACACAAGAGAGAGAGGGAGGGAGGGGGGGAGAATGACGAAGACAGGAGATGGAGGGGAGGGAGAGGAAGAAGAGGTACCTGTCTACATTGTCCTCTGGCTTCGTCTTTTTCAGGTAGCGCAGAGCCTTTGTGAGGTGGTCGTTGAGGACGATGGCCTCGTGCCTGAGCTTCCCGATCAGGAGGTTCTTCTCCTTGACCTCCTTCTCGAAGGGAGCTGTGCGCTCAAGCTCGGCGGTGAGGGAGTCCCTGGCGCCTATGGCGTCTGCGGCGCGGGCCTCGGCCTCGTGGACAATCTTCTTGTAGGCCTCGAGCTGCTGGTCGGTGGACTCGACCATCTCGCGCAGCTCGCGCTTCCGGGCGTCCTGGATCTCGCGCAGGGCGTTCTGGAGGTTGTCGACGAGGGTGTCTTGGGCGTCGCGCTCCTGGCAGGCGGCCTCGTAGCCGGATCGCAGGGAGGCGACCTGGTCCTCGAGGTCGCCGACCTTGTCGAGGAGGCTCTGCTTGACGGAGCGCTCCTCCATCGCGATGACCTCCCACTCGCCCATGACGCCCGAGGTGCGCGACAGCTCGTCCTTGAGGTGCTGGACCGTGGAGAGGAGCTCGTCGCGCTCCTTCTGCCAGTTGGTGGCCGACAGGTTGTTGCGGCTGCGCAGCGTCGACAGCTCGCGCTGCGCGTCCTCGAGCTCGGCCCGCACCTTGGCCGCCGACGAGCCCGTCGTCTCCGACGCGCCCCGCAGCTCGTCGTTCTGCGCCTCCAGCTCCTCGATCCGCTCCTTGGCCTCCTCCAGCTCCTCCTTGTCCCGCCGCAGGCGCTCGCTCAGCGTCTCCTTGATCTGGTTCACCCGCCCTAGCAGGTTCTGGTAAGCCTCCTCGGCACCCTCCTTGGCCGCGTTGCTCTCCTCCAGCTCGGTCCGCAGCTGCGTCACCTCCGACGTGTGGCCCTCCTGTATGCTCTCCAGCTGCTTGCGCATCTGCTCCACCTCCTGCCGCAGCGCCTCCCGCTCCTTGCTCAGGGCTTCCAGCTTGGCCGTCGTGTCTGAGCCGGCCGCCGATCGCACGGCGTGCCCGTTGATGGACGGGTCGTCGTCCCCGTTCTCCTTGGCGTGCGTCGCCGTCTGTTCCGTCCCGGGGGTAGCCTGCGCCTTGGCATGTGAGCAAAAACAGTTTCGGTCATGTGAGCGGCCGTTGACCAGTTGACGAGAGGAAGGGTGGGGGGGTGGAGGAGGAAGGGGGTTGTAGGTCTCGACGAACAGTCTGTGTTGGTGTCTCCGGCTCGTCGTCGTCATCATCGCCTTCGCCATCGTCACCTCCTTGCTTTGAGTCTTCTTCGTTGGCAGGCTGCTGCTGCTGCTGCTGCTGCTGCTGCTGCTCCCTCTTGTTGGCGGCATTCTTCTTCTTCTTGTTATTCTTCTTTTTGGAGGCTGCTTGCCCAATTAGCCTCATTCCGTGGTTCTCCTCTTTCCGAGGGTGTAATCGTCATCGTCGTCGTCGTCGCCATCACGGCTCTCTCTCTCTCTCTCCCTGGTTTGTACCGAGCGAACTCACCAGAATTGTTACCCTGCGTGGGGTCTTCGGGGGCCGTCGGCGACATGGTTGAGTATATCTATCGTAGATGGCGCTGCATCTGGTATGATCGAGTTATGCGAGAGTATCAATTAGTTCCTCGCCGTTCTCCCTCTTCTGCAGAAAAAAAATATTAGATTTGCGAGGGTTGTTGGCGCCAATCTGTCCAGACTGGAGAGGCGCGACCAGGGATTGATGGGAAGAGAGGCATGTGTCCAGAGTCATGTATAGCCACACTAGAGCCTCTGGCTGAGCCACAAGAGGACTACGGGTAGTTAACCCATGCTATAATAGTGATAGGAGTGCAGTGGACAGTCAGTGGCTGCCGGGGAGCATTACAGCGGTTGCCGGCGGCGGCATATTGCGTTGTGGGGCCGTTGATTGGTCGTTGACTCGTTGAGCGAACCACAGTTCTACCTGTATTACATATTACATACCCGTACATGCAGTGTTTGTTTTGATACTCTGTAATCTGTTATGCCTGTACAAGGTAATCGCCCTGTCGTTGCATGATGATGTCTACTGCTTTGCCGATGTCTCGTACAGAAAAAGCTGTGTAGAGTCTGGGTCATTGTCACTGCGAGTCGTGGTATTATCATTACTACGTGTACGAGTACGTATACCCCGTATATGTATGTGTCAATACAGTAACTACTATTATATCATATGTACGGATTACTTGACTACTGGTAGGTCCAATTTAGGTACCCCCCTGTAGCCAGCTTAGTCATCAAAATCCGGGTACGCTGAGAGAACAAGCATCCTCCCGCGGACCACAGGAACTTTTTTTTTTTCTTCCCCTTTCCTCCTCACATATTTTACACCCTTCGCCATCCTATTTTCGAACAAGATCATGGAACCCCGTGGCTTGCTCGCAAACTTGCGCGAAGCAGATGATTCCGTTGCCTTTTATAATCCCGCTGCTTGCTCCTGATCAATGGGTGCTGCGGGTTCGCTTTTGTGCGTACATTTCTTCGTCTTCACCACATATATGATGTGTGTGTGTGTGTGTATGTAGGAGGGAGGGAGGGAGGGAGGAAAAGCTAGATGGACGTGTATTCGTAGGAAACATTTCGGGAATTTTTATTCTCATCTCTGAACTTTCTCGGCTCATGCATCCAACAAAACAAAGCCCCCAAAGACATCTGCGCAGAAGAATAGAGGTAACGATTGCAAAAACCCATGTCATGAAGGAAAAGAAGAAAAACATTTGTTATACTACTCGTACTTTACCTTCCCCTCCCCCTCCTCAAGCCTTGGCCTTTCTTGACCTGGTCGCCCTTGTGCCCTTGGTCTTGGTCTTGGGAGCGGATATCGACTCGGCTTCGGGCTTCTCTGCGACCTCTGCGACCTCTGCCTCTCCCCTCTCGTCTTGCTTCTGCTTCTTGTCGGCGGGAGGGGCATCCTCGATGGCCGCCTTGCTGGTGGCATCATCCTCCCCAGCCTCGACGGGAGCGGGAGGGGTCGGGGCCGGAGCCGGGGCCGGGGCCGGGACGTCCTTGATGGCGGGAGCGTCGAACTCGTAGCCCATGGCCTTGAGCTTGTCGACCTTCTTGGAGCGCTTGGTCTGCTCGCGGACGACCTTCTTCTCCCACGCGGCCTCGGACAGGGGCTTCTCGAGCTGCCTGCCGGCGATCTTGTTCCAGGGCACCTTCTTGAAGCGCCTGTTGGCGCCCTTGAAGAGGTCGTCGTGGACCTGCTCGGCAGGGATGGTGCGGCACTTGAGGATGTGGCCGAAGAGGAGGTAGTTGTTCATGGTCTTGGCGACGATGTCGGCGGTGGTGGCCTCGGCGAACTCGATAAAGGCAAAGTGCTTGCTCGCGCCCGTCTTCTTGTTGCGCGAAAGCCTGAGCCGGCTGATGGGGCCGAACTGCGAGAAGTACTGCCTCATCTCGTGCTCGTAGAAGCCGTGGGGGATGCGGCCGATGTAGATGACGCCAGGCTCACCCTTCTTGCCGCCGGCGGCCCCAGACGACCTGGCCGCCTTCTCGACCGCCTGCGACACGTCGGGGATGGTGCCCACGGGCTGGCCGGTCCTGTACACGGCCGCGTCGTCGGGCGCATCCTCCTCCTCCTCCGGGTCGAGCTCTGCTGCCAGGGCCTCGGCCTCCTCCTCTTGCCCCGACTCGGACTCGGATCCAGCCTCGGCTCGGTCCTTCTCGTCCTCCTCCTTGTCCTCCACCTTGTCCTCCTTCTCGACGGCCTTCTCGGTAGCCTTTGCGTCCTTCTTCACCACGGCCTTTCCGGCACCCTTCTGCAGTTTCTTAGGAATGGGGGAGGACTCGTTTTCCGATGTGGCTAGAGAGGGTAGAAGCAAAGTCAGCCACAGATGGCTCCGTTCAAAGAACTAGACACTCAAATGACAAAAAAAAAAAAAGAGAGAGAGAGAGGAGTCAATCGCCTTCTCTCCAACAACATCAGCTCACCCTTTCGCTTGTCCGCCCGCCGCACGGGTGAGGCCTTGACCTCGCCAATCTTGGGGTCGGAGGGGACTGGTACAGGAGAGGTATGTTAGCGGCATGGTTCATTCATATCCTTCAAAGACTGCACGAGGTACACATACCCTTTCTAGATCTCAATTCGCGTGCCATTTTTTCTTCTTGGTGCTGTGCTGAATTATGTATGCTGACTGGTGTATATCGCAAAAAAAGAAAAAAAAAATCCTGGCGGGCAGTAAGAAAAAAAAAAAAGGCCCCCGAAAATCCAAAAATTACGGGATTCTGCCACTGTTTAGGGCGGTGAGGGGGGCGTCTGGGCTGGGTGGCGGGCTTATCGTTCGGCCTTATCGTCTCGAGCTCAGTTAGTAGCTGTTACTCTCTCCCAGGCCTGCGCTCTCTCCTAATGTTCGGTGCCGAAGCATTCCCTACTGAGAGTAGCGATATCGACCTGTGCAGTGCGACAACAACACCATCAGCATCTGGAACAGCTGCCAAAATTCTGTCGTATCTCTGATCCCTCGGACATGATGAGTGGTGAAGAGGCTCTCAGTCACGAGGAAGTGTGGGACGACTCAGCACTCATCGATTCGTGGAACCAAGCTCTGGACGAATACACGGTAAAGACATCATCTCTACCCACAAAGTGCTCAGAGAGAGGAAGGGAAAGGACGGAGACAGAGGGAGAGGGAGGGAGGGTGCATGATGATGATTAACTTCGGTTTGCTCAGAAATATCATAGCATTATCGCCAAGGGAGGCAGCATCAAGGATCTCGAAGATGCCGTTCTCTCAAGGTACGGATAGCCATCCAGCCAGAACACAGCCAAGACGGAAAGTGTGTCGTGGGTGTACGACGTGCTCCTGGGCGTCATGGGGATCGCACCGCAAACACGGAACGCGCACACAGAGACAAGACCTCAGACTGACTCCACAAAAGTTCAACGGCCGCCACCAACAAGGTTAACGGGTCGACGAAGACGGCAGACCGTGAGGCTGTCGAGGTAACGGATGAACCCACGGAAGAGGCAGAACCGACAGAGGGTCTCCCCTCGGCTCCACCTGGACCGCCTCCGCAAGTCCTTCTAGGTACAGGTGAGTTCCCGATTCTCTTCTTCCCAGCCCCGGCCCCCCTCTTCCTTTCTAATCTCCCGGGTTACGTTTCTTCTTTACCTTTCCCGTTACGTGCTTGGTACCTGACATGTTGCCCTGTCATTTGTTTCCTCCGAGAGAGAGAAAAGTTCAAGATGAGGGCCTCAAGAAGCTGCTCATGGCATGGTACTATGCCGGATACTACACTGGTCTGTTTGAGGGACAGCAGAAGAAGACGGAGGAGAAACGATAATCTGAACAGTGTCGATAACAGCCAGCTGGCCTTCAAAGCTATGATTACAATACTGTAACATCTATCTCCCTGCCTGTCTTTAGTGATAGTTACCAGAACGTCGGTCTCGTACGGAGTATCGACATCCTTTCTCATCGTCTCTCTATCATCATCCTTCTTCTTCTCTTATCCATCGACAGTCTAAATTGATGCCAGGCAGAAAACAAGCCGGAGCGTCTACGAGTACTCGTAGGTTCTCAAATTACGGGATACGAAAAGTATTACCGCCCGCATAACGAGATTTGGGAATAGGGATATATTTCGGAGTACTACGATGCAGGGGAAACCAGCAAGTCATTCAACTTCTCCGCCAAAGCACGCCTTTACCGTTATTGATATACTCCAGGGAAAAAAATTTTTTAAGATAGCAGTTTTGACTATCCGCCGTTTCCGATGGCTCAAATTTGCCCAGGTGTATAGCATCTGGTAGTATAACATGTCTTCATCTGTGGGGATAGGTGGGAGATTGGCGGGACGGTGAGATGTACCTGCAGAGTGCAATAACACCGTTCGTGTTCAGATATGTATCCATCTGATATCAGACAGGATTCTGAGGGCCTAGATGAGCCCGATGGCATATAGTAGCAATACCAGTACGGCATTCCGATCCAAGAAGAAAAAAAGAAAGAAAAAAAAAGAGAGAGAAAAGAAGAAGAAAGACTTGGCGTCCCAGGTTCTGCTGCGCACCTGGAAGCCTCAAGCCAAGCGCTCTCGAGGCGGCCGCCGTCGTTGCGAGAGGTAGCTCGATGAAACAAATAGGGGATCCTCACGCCGTCGACTTGCCGGGCCACGAAACCAATCCTCTGGGAAGGGGGGGGAGGGCAACGCGCCAGTACGAGAGACTGGGACCCGCAGCCAGAGGAGAGAGCCGAGGACAGTAACATCTGGTGACCATGCTGGCGCAGGTTTAGGGTGCAGCGTATAGGAAGTTTGGATAAGAAGCTTATTCTGCAGTAGATCGGGTTTCAGACCGTTGGTCTGGCGTCTTCTGATCCATACTCTTGTTGTTTCCCCTACTCCGTAGACTCCTGAGAGCCAGGATGGGAGAGTGAGAGTATCATGTGCATGTGCGTGTATGTATATATGCATGTGTGTATGGTAGATGAGGCGGAGTCATGGTGCGGTAGGTAATATGTGCAGACCCCAGGGTCGACCAGGGCAGTCCATATTGTCCCAGGGGGGTTGGGGTTGGGGTTGGGTTGGGGTTGAGGTTAGTTTACGACGTATTCTTGCTGCCAAGTCACCAGGGTATAATACGACGTATTCTTACCTAGACGACGGGAATGTACAAGTACGATGCAGTGATATCGTGACACCTAAGAAGTTCCCACAGCTCATACATGCGATGATAAAATACTGCTAGTATACACGAGCATATTGTACGTCCATGTCAGCACGGAGCTGTCGCATGGTGGACACTCTCTGTGTGCTCCCATATCATCATGTGCAAGCCGTACACAGTAGCGTGTTCGGGACCCCGGGGCCGAGACCTTATTTCCCCCCGCCCCCCTCCTCCCCTTTCCTCTGCTCTCCCACTTTTTCAGTTGAGAAATACGAATCTTACGATGTGCAAGTGCCGAACGATGCTGAGTATTCATCTGCAGATATACGCGGGTTCCCAAGTATCATTACGTCGTACCCATGCAGACTAGATGCCAGCTGAGCAGAGCTTTTGGTGGCCGGGGCCCTGCTGAATATGACCGGGCGGGTTTCATATGTCCGGTCGACCGGGGTGTTGCGACAAGATCCCAAACGCGATACGAGACAGACCTGGAGCAGAGAGGGGGAGGGGGAGCCTCTCAAGTGAAGTCTCGTCGCTCTCAACGGTACGGCCCACTACCAAGGATTAAGCTATAGTTTTTGAATTGTTCCGCCTGGCCATATCCAGTTTGCACTCCTGCCATCAGCCCCGGGAAGTCGTGATTCCGGCCGAACCCTTGAGAGGAGGGTCGATTGACCAGGGCCTGACAGGAACCAGCCACGGTCTCGAGGCCAGCTAACGGACTATACGGAGAGCAGGGCGGGTATTGGTCTCTGCTCAGCCTTCGACACGCTTCCGGACCTTTGATCAGGGGTCTAAACGGGATTGCAGTCGAGGAGGGGAGGGGGGGGGGGGGGGGCGAAGAGGGGGGGGGAAAAGTTGGATATAAACCTTGGGGAACTACCGATATCATTGTTTTCCCTTCTCCTCCTCTCCTCTCATCTTCCAACTCATTCCGTCCGTCCTCCAGCTTGTGAAGTGTTCCCTTTCCCTCTCTTTTTGGGTTGTTTCTTTGTCTTTCATTCGATTCTTGACGAGCAGGCACTCGCTAAAGCAACATTATATTATACCCTCATCTTTTATGCTTGAATAGTCGCTTGGTCGATTTCACCCTTCTTTTTTTATTCTTCTTCAAAACATCCCTCGCAATCCTTTCCTAACGCGGACGTCTTCCCTTCTCTCTACCCTCTTACAAAAAAAAAAACAACTACGACGAGAACAGGAACTAGGACAAGATGAAGTCATTCACTGCCCTCACCCTCGGCCTCGTGGCCGCTCCCATGCTCGCCTCCGGCGCCCGCGTCAACCAGTTCCGTCGCGACTCTGGACGTCGTACCGTCCACGCCATCCGCGATCACCACCTGAGCGGTCACAGCAGCGACGACGTCAACGTCGTGGGCGACGGCAACGTCGTCGAGGACAGCAGCTTCAGCGGCCTCAGCAAGCTGGGCAGCTCCGGAGGCGACACCAACGTCATCGGCAACAACAACATCATCGGCGGCGTGTCCGAGGTGGCCAACATCATCATCATCTGGGCCAACCCCGGAGGCGGCGCCGAGACCACCCAGATCAACGAGCAGGTCACCGTGACCCAGACCGTCACCGCCCCCCCCGCCGCCGGCACCCCTCCCCCCCCGGCCGCCGCCGCCACCCACACCGTCATCGTCGGCGGTGACGACCTCGTCTACATCCCCGACCAGCTCAACGACGTCCCCGTCGGCGACATGGTCATCTTCCAGTTCATGCAGCAGAACCACACCGTCACCCAGTCCAGCTTCGCCACCCCCTGCGATCCCCTGGACGGCGGCTTGGACACCGGCTTCCAGCCCAACGCCGACAATGCCGTCTCTCCTCCTCCCCAGGTTGCTATGCAGGTCACCACCACCGAGCCTCTCTGTATGTTCTTCTCCTCTCTCTCTCCCCCTCTCCCCTCGTACGGGCTCGACATTCTCCGAGCTCGATGGGTATCCGTACACGTCATACTGATAGCATTCATCAGGGTTCTACTGCAAGCAGATGGGTCACTGCGGAAAGGGCATGGTCTTCTCCATCAACCCTACCGCCGAGAAGTCTCAGGCCAAGTTCAAGGAGCTCGCCATCCAGCAGGAGGGCGACGCTGCCCAGTCCACCCCCACCCCCACCCCGGCCCCCCCTCCTGCCAACAACGGTACCACCCTCGTCGGCGGCGGCACCGGCGCCACTCCCGGACAGGGCCTCATCGGCTCGGACGGGAGCTGCCACTGTGTGGTCAGCTGCAGCGCCGGCGGCTTCCCCGCCAGCTCTGTTCAGGGTCTCGGCTCTATCGGCGGCATGGCCGGCTCTCTTCCCATGGGTGACGCCAGGGTTTAAGGGAGACGATGTTCTCCTGGAGTCTTGAAGACTTGCGCGCGCGTGCCGGTGAACGAGCTGGAGATGGAGAGAGAGAGAGAGAGCTTAATGGTGCATTTTTTTTTGGAGGGGTTTTTTTTTCTCTCCCCCATGGGTTGTGTTCTTGTGTGTGTAAGCCACGCATCAAGATGTTTGCTTTTCTTCTTTCTTATAGGGAATCTTTTTAAAAAAAGAGCGGGATCAAGGTGCTACCTAGACCGGTAGCTATCCAGCGTTTCTTAGGGGATGAGGGTCACTATATAATGTTCTTTTTTTATACTGCTTTTATGAATACATATGGCTGGTGTCGTGCAGGTTACGACAAAATATTGGTTCTCCTGACTTGCTTGCTTCCCCCCCCCCCCCC